CTTGTTTGTTTCTTTTTTAAAGCAAACCCCTATATGCTCAATCAAGTGCTCTGAAGTAAGCACATGAGCCGGCTTTATGACACAATCTTAACCTTACTAGGTGTCTGCAGCTCTGCTGAGAGTATTTAATTCACAAAGCCACAGAAATGCCACAGTAGAGCCAAGGACCAGCAAATCAGCTGGGGTATTTGCCTCAGACAGCTGGCTGTTGCTAATGCAGTCACATCAGATAAAGGGAGGAAGGAACAAAGAGAATCAGCATTTCTGGATCAACACACCTCTGTGAATTCAGAGAAGGAAGCAAACAGATCCCCTACACAACATTCTCATCCTACCTCCCCTGAAAAGCCAACAGACTAGCCGCATGTTGCACTGACCAAAAGGAACTTAGCCCAACAATCAGAAGGAGCTTTCTTGTTTTTCGTTTAACATTTTAAGAATTGATCCTTTCTCTAATCTACCCAATTCAAATGTACAACCCAAGAATCTTCTGCAGACTCAGCATCCCATACTATCAGCAGCCCAGTGGAAGTCTGGAATATTTTCATCAGTAGAAGCAACTACCTTGTAAAGGATATTTAAATAATTTTGGAGACTGCGAGAGAGAACATTCATAATCTAAGTCAAGAGATTTTTCAATGAAAAATTAATATTCCTTGTGGAAATGGTCACTGCCTTCTGGAAAAGGGACAGTTGAATAGCAGGAAAGGTACACACTTCACTCCCATCTTCAGTAGGAAGATGTCTCACTAGCTTCTGCAAATGCAAAAAGATTCATCTGCTATCCCATTACACCAATTTCTGTCTCTTTCCTTAAATGGCTTCCTGTTACAAAATACTTCTGAGTATATTAATGGCCACTTACTCTTTGGATCAACATGTCCAAACCCACCATTTTTCTGGGCCACTGGACATGTGATACTGTGTTTGTTTGCAGTAAATATCTCTAGTTCCTCCCTCTGAGCAGTCCAAGAAAATGTGCTACCATGAACAACAGGACAGATGGAACATCTGACATCCATTCCATCCAATCCACATGACTTGGTATTTCTATAGATGAGCTTCTTCACAAAGGCTTCCTAAAGCAGACAAGTTTCATGTTTCTTCTGATCTTCAGTTTAATTCCTGAGACAGATTTATAAGGATCTTCTATGTCTAGGACTTCACAGAGAAGCACTTCTAACAAATTTAACACACAGCAAGAAGGTCTGGCTTCTCTGTCACCTGAAGTTTATAGTCTTCAGATCAAATGAAGAATTTCAGCACAGAACTTAAGGTGAGTGCTTGGTAAAGATGGTTGTTGAAGGTGATACAACCATTTCTTAAGCACATACTCCATGTCGTCAACTGGCCTATGTTTTATTTCATTCAACTCAACCTCACAAAACTCAAGTACTAGAAATTCTATTATTCTTTCCCAAGTATCTGTTATTTTCATCATCCACACTCTAAAAACAAGACTAAGATAAGGAGTATCACTGAATGAGTGACCTGACAGCCAGAATTCAAAATCAAACTCTAGTGACATTCCAGCACAAGTGCCAATCCATCCACTGATACAAAAAGGAATTATTTTTTAAGTTCCATAGGATATAGAACAAGCCATCTACTGACAAGACAAGGGATATTTTAAGTTGCATAGGACATAGAATGTTTCCCCAGTGATCAGGAAGCATGGTGCTTTCATCCAAGAGAGAAATACTGTCTGTGTAGTGGCTTCAGCAAGGTACTTAAGTGAGGAAAGAAAACAAAGGATGGATCACCATTTAAGATCAAGACCCAGCAAAAAGCAACTGAGAATAGATTATCTGAGGGCTTAAATTATAAAGATTTATGTTTCTATCAGAAGCCAGTTATAGAGACCCAGTTATAGTAGCCAAAATATAAGATTGAATTTGGTATAACCAAAAGATGTCAAGATCTGGCTCTTGGCCTATACATGATACAAAAAGAAAAACAAGAGAAGAAAGACTAGTAATATCAAATATAAGGTATATTTAAAACAACGAGAAGAGATTTGCACTGGATTTAAAATAATAAAGTCTAAATATATCTCTAATTTGCATGTGTGTGAGCCTGCTCTAAGGACTAACCCTGTTGGCCCAGCATTAGCAAGAGCTACACACAATACTTCAGTAAAAGTCACAGTTGACTCTTGAACCACAGTTTTCTGATGTAAACACACGTAAAAATAACTAGCAGAATCACCTGGAGCACTCAAGACATAAAGAAAAAAAAAATAGTAAACACACACACGCACGCACGCACGCACGCACGCACATCTAGCCTTTTAAAGAAATTGTGGGCCAGTTGAGCACTTTAAATTGGCAATGACAAACACTACAATTTTCTAAGGGGATATTATCACAATTTCTCAACCTACATTTGAACTAAGACTCTAAGAGTTCTTCTACTTAATGTAATACCACATGTAATACTTAGGTATGGCCTTCTCCACAACCGTTATAATACAGAATACAGCTCTTTGGAGATAATCATTTTAAGGAGAAGTAAACTGGAGCAGTAAATTAGCATGGTTAACTACAATGCCTTCTTCTTGTCCCCCATCCACAATCATCCTTTTCTATAAAAGGGAAAAAAAAAAGGTTTTCAGCTTTCTCAAACATCTCTCATAAGTCACTCTTAAATTTTGAATCATAACTCAGTACCTTGGATCAACCCAAAACAGGGAAAGGGAAAAAAAAGTATAATACTATATCCTAATGAAACATAAGGAAACAAAGTCACAATGTGGATACTAAGTGCCTGAAAATACTATCTTTAATTGACTATGAAACCAGTTATTCCTTGAGTGTTACATGGTTTCAAAATTTTAAAGTATTTTTAGAAAACAGAATGGCATAATATCATGAGATATAATATGAATATAATGTTGTTTTTTTGTTTCTTTTGTTAATATGACACATGCTAGAGTCATCTAGGAGTAAGGAACCTCGATTGAGAAAACACCTCCCTCAGACTGGCCTGCAGGGAGTCTGTGAAGCATTTTCTTGATTGATGATTGATATAAGAATGGCCAGCCTACTGTGGGTGGTGCCACTCCTAGGAAGGTAGCCCCGGGATGTATAAAAAGCAAGCTGAGTAAGGAAAGCAAGCTTGTACTCAGCATTCATGCATGACCTTCATACCAGTTCCTGCCTCGGGGTTCTTGCCTTGATTTCCTGCCATGATTTCCCTGAGTGATGGACTGAAACTTGTGAGATGAGATAAACCCTTTCTTCTCCAAGTTGCTTGGGTCAGTATGTTACCCCAGCAATGGATGGTAAACTAAGACAGTCATATAGGATCTGTGATGAAGATTAGGAATGGGAAACAGAGCAGGGTAGGCCAAAGTGAGAAATGACCATCTATGGCACAGAAAAACATAATCCCAGTAATACTTGTTCCCAAAATCTTGACATCTGTCTGCCACTTTCCACCACAGCATTAAGAAAAACCATAGCTTCTCCAAAGAAGACGATTTTTACTGACTGCAAGAGTGACTGACTTCTCAGATATCAAGTACATGTCTAGTAAGTTCTAGAAAAACATACAGCTGTGATCTGACATTTCAGTGAGCTCCTAGGGTCTTGATATGCTTTTGCCAAAAATGAACAATGGTGAAACAACTGACTTCTGTACTGTGGCCAAAACAGAATTCACAAAGCTGTATATTCAATTGCTTTCTAATAGAGTAAATTTAGATCTTAAAATAAGTTTTGACATAAATGCCTTTAAAATAACAATACCTTACATTTGGATCTTTATCCAATTAATTATTTCCTGGCGTGATATTAGAAATTCCTTGGCTTCCCCTTAAACCAATACTCCCAAGTGCTAATTAGCAGACTATATATATTATTAACCACAGAATGTCGTGTTTAGAACATGCATGTCCCATATGCATTCAATTATAACATTATTTTTTCCTCCCTGAAAGATTCCTTTAGAAAATAGATCCCTATTTAAATGAAACACTTGGCTGCTAGTGAGGGAATTCTTGTCAAGATGCAATTAATAAGACAGGGCCAAGATGACATAGGATCCTTGTCTTTGAAATATCCTTAACATGAATCAAATTTAATCTCCCTGGAACAACTAGTGGAGGGAAAAGTTAATGACTGCAGATGTTATACACGTTAATCACACAAGGGGACTCCCCAAGAGAATGATCAAATCACATATGAACTACACCACTCCTGAGTAAATGACTTGCCAGTGAGTAAGAGCCAGGAATGGGTACTACTGTCTCCCAAAAACCATAGGATAGATGAAGAAAGAAACAGATGTAAACAGTTTAGAACTAAGGATTGCTAGTTACCAAGGAGATATGATCATCTCATTAGTTGGCAAGCTAATTACCCACAATCCCAGTTTCATAAATCCAGAAAACCAAAATTTAGTGTCTGCATTCCACAGAATTCTGTTCCCACTTCCAGACCCTCCACCCAGCCACAAAGTTGTCAGTTCTGCTTGATTTGTTTGAATATTGTACTCCACGACAGCTGTCGGAAACAGTACATCAGAACAGCTGCTGTGACAGCTACAAGGGGCTCGCAAGTTTAATTGGGCTCAATGTGACATTGTGCATTTTTCTAAACATAGAAATATCCATACAACTGAAGAAATTTCTACTGAGTCTCGACAATGTTTACTTATTGACACTACCAACTGGTCAGCCCCAGTTTAACTGATATTGTTGGTCTCGTATTATCTTTGCTACCAGGCTGGTAAGAAGTATGAAAAAGCATGTAGAAATGGAAATAAACAGTAGAAATAGTTAAACACACAAGCAAAGAAGCATTAAAAAGAAGAGGAGGTAGTGGGAAAGTCACATCAATAATCGCTTCCACAGGCTGGCAGGGAGCCAAGGAGGATCCCACAGTGTCTCAGGATATACTTCCAAAGGAAATAAATTCCGAGGCCTGAGCCTGGTGCCAACTGCAAACAAAACCACTCATTATGGCCACAGCTCCCTAGAGAAGGGCAGGATGGCTTACTCTCAGCACAGGCGCAGAGGAAGAAGGTGAGGAGCAGCGACAGCAGCCTGGCCACGGGCACCATCCTGCAGCTTGTCAATGGCATGCACCGGCAGCTTGGAAACTCAGCTTACGGAGCTGCAGTGACTCGTCTTCTCAGAAACTTCAGCTGGGACCCTTTCAGAGCCTGTGAAGGGAGGAGACAAGAAAAGAAGAAAACACAAAGACATTTAGACTTCTCACTCTTTCCCCCTGACCTATCACAACCTAGAGAGACATGCCCTATTGTAAAAACACAATAAACACTGGAGCTGTCATGTCTTTGTATTGGGAAATAACTTGGTATGGAAAATGCAAGATTCTCTATCATTATCGCTGCCAGGCCACCTACAACCAACCAACAAGAATTTCTTTCTCTGCTCCTATGCCATCTGTTGGGCACTATACTCTAAGGAGACACAGTCACTTCATACAAAACTCTACATGAAGGCACACCAGAGATTTAAGGAATGACTACTAGAAGTCTTTCCTACTATTAATGATGGAATAAAAGAAGGAGTGTATGGATGTTTTGCCTGCATGTATGTCTGTGAACCATATACATGTCTGTTTATCATATGCTTGCCTGGTAGCCAAGGAGGCCAAAGAGGGTACCAGATTCCCTAGGACAGGAGTTACAGATGGCTGTGAGGTGCCCATGGAGGTGCTAGGAATTGATCCCTGATTCACTGGAAGAGCAGTCAGTGATCATAATTGCTGGCCATCTCCAGCCCTAGGAAAGTGGTGCTTTAAAGGAAGCCTTGATCATACATAGGCAGGATTTTAACAGGAAGAGGAATGTGTACTCCCTGAACTCCATGCAAAACTTTGACAAGATAAAATGCTGGTGTGCTGAAGCAGAGATGGCATGTTAAGACAGAGAACTAGACACCACCAGTTTACATCTCTGAAATTCTCTAATACGCTTCACAACTTTGCGTTTCTAACTCATTCCTGGGAAATGCTGATGTAAGTTTTATTTGGGATCGTATTGTGAGAGCCACGGGGTGAGAATGAGGTAACTATTAGGAGAACAGAACTCAGCACAAAAGAGAACACAAAGACATCATTGGATCAGTCTACATATAGTATGATCTTCACTCAGCCAGCACAGAAACAAGCTCTATTCTGTTTGTGAGCAGAGGAACAATATAGAACTAGGCTTTGGGAAAATTCACTGATAGCTATTTTCAGGGACAATAGAAAATGCCATTTAGTGCAACTCTATAGGGAGAGTTCCAGGTGAGAAGGATTGTAAAAGTCAAAAGTGATGGTTGGTCTGACAAGAAGGCTTAGAATACAAGAGCTTGTTGCACAATAATAATGACCTGTTTAACACCCAGAACCCATGGCAAAAATAGAAAGCCAATTCTCAGAAGTTGTCCTCTGACCTGTACAGTTGTGTCAATGGCATGTGTACACACATGTGCTTGGTCATATACAAACACACACACACAAAAAAAATACAGTAATATAGAAAATTACATGAAAGCCCTTGTCCCCTACAAAAAAAAGTTGGTAGTCCTAGCAGTGATGCAGTGAAGGGAGGGGAGTGAGGTGACCAGAGACAGGCTCTAAGAAATGAGAGTGTGATTCGCAAAGTGATGCATAATTGTGCTTATAGAACCTTCAATAAATCAGCAGAGCCTCTCTCAGAGAGCAGCCTCTTAATTAAGAAGGAAATGGAGAGGCTGTGCCATAGACTACAGCCTCTTCTGTCTCTTTGATAAGAACTTGAGACTATTGGGATTCAAAGTGAAATGGCTCACCTTTTATTTCCACAATCTCTCAATATCTGAAACACATGACACTTGACTCTTGACAGGATATAGACTAGATACCCCAAAACAACCTCACACCCCAAAGTAACTGGATTTTAAAATAGAAATGCAGCTACTATATACTTTGTCTCTTTTGACACTGAATTTGAAAATTAAAGCATACTTTTTTAAAAAAAATGGGTTTCATTAATATGCAAGATTAATTTGGATTCAGGAAAGATACAGCGAACAGGGAGACGAAAATCATCTAATTATCCTTCTACTCTCTAGCCCCTTCTTTTGTTTGTTTGTTGGTTTTTAGACAGATTTGTGAGAGGCATGAAGAAGTAAGATGAACACTGAAACACAACTTGAATCCCGAAAGCTAGCCAGCTGTTCCAGAACAGTGATTGGTTATCAATCTCATCTGGAAAACAGCTTATCAAGCAGTTCACAGATATCAGCTGTTAGAAATCTCATAGCTCCATAGGAAAAGCACTACAGGAATCAGCTCTCCCGGACACCTCCCCACCCCCTCCCACCACTTCTTTCTCACGCCAGCGTTTCAGATGGCAGCAAAGTCCAGGAGACATCAGTCCTGTCGGATTCAATTTGTGTCTGTGCAAGCATATCAGAGCCAACTGCTACATAAGGACTCTGAGCCATCACAGAGACGGAAACCCAGAGAAGCTTGCTCAGGGAAGGGCGACTTGCCTTTTCCATGCACTCAGCTAAAGTGTGTGAAGACCTAATTTTTCCAAAGAAGCCTGCAAATGTTCCCTCTCACTTGGGTCAGCCACAGCATTTCATTCTCTGAAAATGAATGCTAACATGAAAAGACACATTTACACTTAAATAGGCTATGCCCTTGGACAACACATCAAGGGAGTGATCAGACGTGTGGGGAAAAAATACATATTCCAGTGATTCATTCCATAAACACTGCCAAAAGGAAATGCTGGGTAGCACTGGTACAATGAAATTGACACTGCAATACAGAACTGGAAAATGAACTTTAAAGGAGATATTTAAAATAAAAAGAAGGACAGGGAATGAACATCACTAGCATTTGCCTTTAGCCATTGTTTAATACGCTGAGCACTCTAGAGAGGAGGAGGTGGAGATATTAGCTGCACTGCACTTTAGGAAGTCAGAAGAAAGAGACCAACTCTGCCTTTCACCCCATGCATCACTTATCAACAGAGAAATACAAATAAAACGCATATGGTTATAAGCTTGAAATACGATTTTAAACTCTGTTGTTTATTTCCAATACGACAAAGATCTTATGAAAGATTTAAAATCACCAGGAGAGTAACATGAACATATATGCACATGTGTGGCAGGGAACAGCCAAGATAGGACAGACAAGACAGTGCTTGAGGATGGAAGCTGAATCCAACTCTTTTCCTTAATAGCAGGACCTTTTCTACAATGATCCATTAGTATTTCAACTAAAATGAACACTGATCTTTCTCCAGCTTTCCATAGTGCCAGCATAAATTCATACAGATTGGGTAAAACAGAAGAAACTGTAAAGTACAGCTTTTATGGCTGGTTTTAAGTTTCATGTAAGAAATATAGAAAATAATTCTGGATCATCTTGCCACAGTAGGAAGAAAGTAAGTGTTCAGTAACTCCTAGGACATACCCAAAAAAGGGCTCAAGACAATGTTGTGCCATCAGCTAAATATAAGGAGATGTTGCTGGAACAAAGGACAGTAACTACAAAGACCTGAACTCCATCATTTTAAATTCTCAGGCTTCATAATTCAAATAGTTTAAATAACACTAATCACTGTTCAGAGCAGTTAGTAAACCACGTGGCCTGAAAATGATAACATGTGGCCCAGCAAGCATGTGTTAATACGGCTTTGCCCCCAGTCCATGGTCCTAATAGGAATGAGTGCAAGCATGAGAGGGTAAGGCCTATGGGAGATCTTCTGTTCAGAGGGGTCATGGTTTGGCATGTTTATTGCGGGACCAAAACCTCCTCTTCTGCTGTCTGTGTCTCAGTCATGAAGATGGAGTCCTCTGCCATGTGTTCCTACCTTGATAGACTAAACCACTGTATTCCCAAAGCATCAGGGCCAACTATTTATGGTCTAACAACACTTAAAATCCATGAGCCAAAATAAGTCCTTCTATCCTTCAAGCTGATTTTATCTTGGGTATTTGTTACAGTAATGGAAACCTGAAAACATAAGAATGAAATCATTACAGTGAAAACAAGGTTTGAACAGGAAAGAATTAACCATCAAGCATAAAAAATCTCCGCAAGCACTTTTGAAGTCACTATTACTCTCATGACAAAACTAGGTATCACTGTTTACATCTAAGCACTTGGCTCTGTCTGTCTTATAGCAAAGCCATTATTGTAAGCCTACACAGCAGAAGCACTAATATCCTAATATTTAACCTGGGCAGACATGCCTACAGAAATCCAGTCAGTTGCAAGGAGAGTCCTCACATACTGTGACAGCTCTCATCAACCTCCTTAACTAGGCCCTTATAAATCAACTGGAACTGGTTTCCAATTATTTAGGAAAAGGGGCCATTTGTAAAAAGGGTACGCAACCAGGAATCTTCCATTTGTAAAAGAGAAGAATGCATAGCCATTCAGGCAGAAGGCAGAAGTGGAGTATCTATAGCAAGACCAACAGAGGCTTTCCTGGGAAGCCAACAAATTCCCTACATCCTCAACTTGCAGCACAGGACAGTGAAATGAAAAGAATTAAAGCCTCGTCTTCAATGTTTCCCTTACTCGTATTGATTTTCTGAGAAGACAGTCCCCTTCGCTATTTATCTTGATAAGTCACAAAGCCTTCCAGCACTATCCAACAGAACTTCCTGAATCTTAGAAATTGTACTGCACTACAATAACAGACTATTTGAAGAATGACAATTAGAGCAAAGTTTTATTTACATTTAATTAAATAGCCTCATGTGTATGTCGATATCCTAGTGAACAGCACATTGAGAGAGTAGCACACCTAAAGCACACAAAACTGTTTTCAGTTTTTTCTAAAACAATAAGGTACAATTTGTGAGTCCTTGTCATCCTTGGGAAACTATAGTCAAAGCTAAAGTGGCACTGGTAAGGGAAAAATTTAACATTTAGGTCATTCATTTCCCACATATGTCCTGTGTAAATGCACATACACATTGTTGTTGAAAATAAACATTGGGTGAAAGTTCTGCAATATGCAAAAGAATTAAAGAGCTTCCATAAGAGTGTGTGTGTGTGTGTGTGTGTGTGTGTGTGTGTGTGTGTGTGTGTGTGTGTGTGTGTGTGTGTGTGTGTGAA